CGGTTCGGTTTATTTATTTTAATTCATTATCTGATTATGTTGCGGTTTTGGATAATCAAAAACTCTCGGGTAATCAAAAGCTTTCGGGCGGGTAATCAAAAGCTCTCGGGTAATCAAAAAATTTCGGTAATCAAAAGCTTTAGGGTAGTTAAAAGCTTTTGGATAAGTAAAGTTTAGATTTATATTATATGTATCATACAAACTAACATATAAAGGTTATTAAACAAAAAAATTAGTGTAAATTGTTTTCAAAATCAAGTAAAAACTAAAAATATAAAAAAGTAATTATAAAATTCCTGCGGCGTAGCTCTCGATCTTCCCAGCTTGTTATTACACATTAATAAAAAAACTGTTTTTGCATAATATAAAAGTAATATATCAAAAATTGGATAAAATATGAATTTATAATGTAACTTAATCTTTTAAAACACGATAAAAAAATACAACAAAATTCTACCGCGACATAGCGCGGGGTACCGACCTAGTTATATCAATTTATTGAATTGATGCAAAACTAATTAATTACAACATCTTGTATTTATAACTAATGCTAAATCATGTATATTTATCTTATTTGTAAATAAATGATATAAAATAGTATCACTTACAATTCATCATTTTTTTTTGTAGTGCTAGTTCAAGGCCACCAAGAATTCAGAATCATCAAAGACAAGGCACACAAGTGTTGGAAATTGATGATTCATCTCTGAAAGCACAAGCACGGGTCTCCGTTCTTAGACGCGAATCTGATGTGAAATTAAGTCAAATAAAAGAAGATGAGTTATTGGCCCGTAAATTGCAAGAACAGCTGAACCAAGAAGCCGCAGCTATTAGGATTGATGAAACCGTAGCAAGGTCGCTGGAACAAGGAGAAGCAAGGTTACTGGAACAAGAAAAGAATTCTCTCAGTGCGTCTTACTGTGAATGATTAGCCGAGAATATATATTATGCAAGAAACTCACAGGCTAACAATCATAAGATTATTGATACAGTTAATCAATTATACATTTAAAAAAAAAACACACACACACAAGTTGAGAAAAAAAAAGAAATATACACAAAATATAAGCAAAACATAAGCAAAAACTAAGAACAATATAACTAAAAAGTTATCCATTTAGAAAAAGTTTCAACTTCAAATGCTTCATGACTACTAAACTCTACAAAACGTGTCATGTTCTTTGTTAGTTTTAAAACTTTGCACCTAATACAGAGAAATGATGAATTTAGAACCACCAAAATAATCTTTAATCTATCGCCAACACCGATTACTGACAAAATATGTCTTAAGTCTCCTCTGAAGACTACATTTACCTCTAAAAAGTTTATCTTATCCTAATATGTCATGCATGCTTATCTAAGGTCTCAAAAAAAAAAATGTTTGCTCATCACAAATAATGAGTTTGGTTTGTTTTGCAAATTCTACAAAATCTAATCATTTTTCATCGCATGTTGTTATCATAATTCTTATCACATCCCATGATGTCAAACATTTTCCAAAGAGAGAAAAATGAACAAGCTAAGGTAACTGTAAATATATAGAAAAAAACAATAAAAAAAAGTAAGAGAAGAAACCCCATTGGTTGTTTCATTTTCTTTCTCAATTACAAAACCTTTATCAATGAATGGAGATAAAACAAAGTCATAGAAGCAAAACAGATAGAAAGAGTAATTGTACTTTTTATTTAATGTTGTATGTAATCAATCATACTGGAGAATGCTTGTCTAATTTCTTGGCTTCATGGTTCTCTTTTTCTTGGCTTAAAAGCGGCGTCGTATCCCGATCTTTCCCCTATTAAAAAAAGGAACAAAACCAAACCAATTAATAAAAGTAATTAGAAACTTTCAATCTTTTCATTTTCTTGGTGTAAATTATACGTACAATAAAAGCGGATTCGGAGGAGCCTTGTTTGGATTTAGAAGCAACGGAACAGAAGTAGGAGTAGAGAAGCATTCCAAGAACCGCTATAAGGATTCCTGCGATGTTACGAGGAGTGAAAGGATCGTGGAGGAGTGTGTAACCAAATGCGAGAACCAAACACGTTTTGAGATGTCCCAAGACTTGGTACGTCACTGGAGATGTTTTCCCGATCACTAAAAACGTGCTGAAGTTAACCGAAACCGCTATCAAACAAGACAACGTTATGAACCCCTGCATGTATACACAACATGATTCATAATTGTTAAGTTTCATATATAGGATTCTTCTATCTAGCTAAAATGTTATCATACGACAATGAAAATATATGATGTAAAATTACCACGACAATAGGAGAGTAATTGAAAGAGAAGACGTTGAGGCGAGTGAGGTATTTATCGACAAAGGGACCCGAGACGAAGAGTATAGCGGCTTGGAACGGGGCCGATTGGTATAGAAGTTGTGTTGATGTCACGTTTAGTTTCTTCTGGATTGTGTTTGTTAGCTTCACCACAACACATTTAATTAGTCATATTAGTTAGATTATGGATTAATTCAAATGAAAGAAATGAGCTTGAATGCTTACAATTTGCCCGACGCAAGTTGTGGCAATGGCAAGTAGAGAGAGAACAGAACCAACAAAGTTGAGCTGAAGATCTGTGATTGATGCTATTCCAACCCCAACCAGCAGCAGAAATAATGAGAATTTTATCTTCTGGCTGCAAAATCAAACATGTAATTAGTTTGAAGGATATGTATATGTGTAAATAATTATAAATTAGAAATAATTAAAAAATAATAAGCAAAGGTTAATTCACCTAAACTTCTTGTTGAGGAAGAGAGTTTCCAATAGAACAGTGAATGGTATGATAGCAAGTTTGGTCATCTATCATTATATATGGAGAAACATCAAAATTGGTCAATCATGTAAATGTCACATGATGAGGACTATAAAAAATATATTAAAAACATATAATATACTTGATAGAAGCCGATGGAATTGAAGCCGAGGCTGAGATTGAGAAGACCAATGGAGATGCCATTGAGGAGGCCAAAGAGAACAACAGTCTTCATGTCGATTGGTTTATTCTCAAAGAAGTTTAGTTTATATGCCACATGAAGTGTGCAATATGTAACCATCAAATGCCAACTTGTTAGTGTCGTTGCTGCGAAAAAACCATAGCGAAAACTGATCAATTACCAGACCGGTTTTGATAAAGATTTTAATTTACAACATATGTATGTTGTCGCATTGATTGAATGATTCAGTTAATCATCTCTAGACAAAATTAATAAAAAAAAAGAAAGAGAGAAAAGTAGTAATCACCAAAAGGGAAGCCAAGATTGGTCATTAAGGCTTTGTTGCAAATGACAATGGAGACAGAAGATGCAACTGAGAGAAACAATGCTCCAATCACACCCATTTGCATACTCTTCATCTCTCCCATTTTTTGTTCTGTCTCTCTCTCTCTTCTTGCAACCCTTCAAATATATCAAAAGAAGAGAGAGAGTGAAGTATATATTGATGAGAGACACAGCGAGAGAAAGAGAGAGAAGGGATTGTGAATATGAAGAGGGACGAAATGCAAAAGAGATATATGAGGTTTTTATTATTTGTTAGTATAAAAATGGTTGGTGTCTTGACACCAAACTTCTAGTAGCTGTCTTATGTTCTTCCGAATTTCATATTTTGTTAATTATGCCATCATATAATTTACACACAAGATACATGAGAAAGAAAAAAAAAAACTAATTATGATGTTGCTTATTATATGTTTTTCCTCATAAGAGGCTTCTACTAATGATATATGATAGCAAACTTTTAACCATAAAAAAGTAACTGAAAATAATCAGCCAACAAAGAGAAATTGTGGTTTTCTATGAACAAACAGTTGACTTGAACTAAAAGCAAAAAGGAAGGTGCAACTGATTTTTTTTCTTGTGGAGAAAAATATTGTAACAGACAAAATAAATAAATTGGATTTGGTGTAAAGCTTCACATTCACACCAAACCAATAATACTCTTTGTCATCTGCTTAATTTCTCTACCATTTACGTTACCTATTAAAAGGAATATTTTTTTTCCTGAAATTGGGTGACGATGTAAAAAATCAAAATAGATGAATCGTGAAACAAGGTCAGTCTGGTATACTTATTGGCCTTTCAAAAGTCAAAAATTTTAAATTGTGACAGGAAGAATACACCAACCCTAATAGAGATGTTTAATCTAGATGTTTACTTTCGACTTTCAATATTTTGCTATGAACATTTATTTTAGTTAAGTAAAAGTGAAACTAAACTCGTCTTTCACTTTACTCTCATTTCCAAAGACAAATGAGAAACTTTTAGACCATCTCCAACCCCTCATGCCATATGTTATTGCAAATGGCAAAAATATAGCAATAGCATTGGGTTTCTCTCCAACCCCTCATGCCATATATCATGCTATAATTTTTTTCCAACTTATTATTAATTGTTAAAACTACTTGATTTCTTCAAATTTTACAAAGTGAATCATTTGTTTTTCTTTTTTTGCAAAAACAACCAGAATTATATTTTTTTATTATTATTATAATATTAAAACAAAATACATCATATTACATAAAAATTATAGAAAACAAAGATTTTAACCTATTGTTTTATGTTTTTTGAATTTCAGTATTTTTAAAAATAAAATTTGAAGTTTATTATGGTTATGTTTTTATATTTCTATGAAATAAATATTATTTATATTTTGAAAAAGTTATGAGTATTGTTTATTTATTTAAATAAATCATAATCAATATAATTAAACTGTTAAATTAAAAGTAATTACAAATTGAAGGACTATTTTATAAATAAAAAAGTTCAATGGCAAAATAGCATATTGCATAATCTCATGCCAAATATAGAAGCAAAAATAGCATGATGCTATTTTGCAATAGCATATATGTCATATTTAGCATGGGGTTGGATGCTCTTATGCTTTCTTCTAAAACACAACAAATTGCACTAAAGCTCAATCAAAACATATAATTAATTCTCACACAATATATGATACACAGAGGAAGGTTTAATAAAATGAACTAACTTTTGTATAAAATTATGCTTTAACCATCCTCCCAAGATACTCTTTGTCAGCATCAGCTAATCGGTTCTGAAACATTGTCCATTCCATTTTGCATCGATCTCTGACTCCTTGCCATGGAGCTTTCCCATTCTCTGACTTTCCTTGACTTCCAAGCGAAGGTATCACTTTGTGTATTATCCATTGCGAATCCACAACCCCAATCTTCTCATGTGCAGGCTTCACAAATAACAAAGATTTCTCATCATCAGTCCAAAGAATAATAATAATATGGTCATTACTTATTAACCAGAGAGCCACTGATTAGTTACTTCAACACATCTTCTAAGCGCAAAGTCAAGACCCCATCCATGAACCAGATCGTTCTGCATCAGAAAGATAAAACTAAGTCAATCAATCACATGAAACAAGTCCATAGCTGAATCACACGCCACACAAACCTGAATCATATGCCACACACATCGCCATGCTTCTCTAGAAAACACAGGCGCCATTATTTCAACAAATCTGTTTTTAAGGGAACAACAAACTCAGTACTGATAATTGACTAAACACACTCTTGAAAAGAGAGAAGAGAGAAAAAAGAGTTTTACGCAGCACATGGAGGTAAATGTGGGTCACGGCACCATCCTGGTTTTTCTTGAGTGTCTCTGTTCACCATTCTTGATTCAGAACCAAAACAAAAAAAATGACAAAATACGTACGAGAAAGAGAGAAAAAGAGAGAGTCTCTTACTTGTGGACCTCTCGATCACCTCGCCTCTTTGTCATTTCCCAAGTGAGTCCATTGTTGGGCTCAAGACCTGGCTGAGAGATCTCTAAACCATGCTTCTTAACTAACTCAACGTACCTGAAAGAAAGTTTTCAATAAGAGTTCCATTTACAAAATGATGTAAAAGATGACACTTTGTTCTGCTAGTAACTTACTTATCTGCATTGAAGTGCTCCACTCCAAGATCTTCATCCCATATAAATATGTACTCGTAAGCTGACACAACATCAGGATGCAAAAACCTCTTCGCGTACCACCTGCCAAAAACCAGTTTAGGATTTCGACTCAAAACAAGGTTTTCTTGATTTTGTCTTTTACCATTTAGTTTGCTTTCTTGTACTAATATGAATCGCACTCTTCGACCACTCAAACTGGTCCCACTCAGTTGTCCTTCCATCATAATGAAAGAGCAGAATCTGGAAATCTTCAGAAAACTGACAAAGAGAAAACAAAAACTCTAAGCCAAGAAAATATACAAATAGTGGCAGGTATTGCAAGAAACCGACCTTCTTAACAACTGAATTAATATGGTTCCTCTGCTCAATCCCAACTGTAAATGTCACTAGATACTTTGGCTTCTTCTTCAAATCCTGCAAAAGGTTAAATCTATCACTATTAAAAAAAGAATTCCAATCAACCCTCAAGAATAATAGATACAGAATCTCTCATACTTCATTAGGTTCTCCCCATAATCTACGCAAGTAAAAATCGGTCTTTGCCACAACAATCCCTGGAGGTAGTAGCTCCGCACCACGCGGGTTCGTTGGTACATATATCTGCAATCACACACACACACAAACCGAAATGTGATTGAAAGTTTTCTGCTTTCAAGAACCTGAATGATTTATATCACCAATCTCACATGATGAAATGGCCTAAAACGTTATAATAATACCTCAGGAGATTTTCTTGAACCGAAATCTTGAGGAGATTTGTCACGAGATAAAAACTTGGCGTCTGAGATGGCTACATCAAGAGTTGATATAAGGCCTGAGGGTAAGTTTATCTGCAGGAAACATACGAAATGAAAAAAAAAAAAAAATCAATATCGGTGTGAAAGTGAAAAAGAAACGTTAACAAAAGCACAAAATACCTTGAAAGAAACTGATGGTATTGTGATGCCAATGAAAGTCCCAAACACAATTCCCAAAATCGTTGTGATGATGAATTTTGCATTTTCGTTCGTCGTTCTTCGAGGAGCACCACCACTGCGAAGCTAAACCAACTCAGAAGCTCGAAATTATTTACACAATCACAGAGCTCGGAGAAAAAATTATACCTTCGGTGCATTATTCCCATTGGTTGTTGTAATATCCTCTCCAAAATGCTATTTTCAATTAATGCGACAGAGATTTCAACGAAATCAGCAGAGGAGAGATGATGAATCGCGGATTGATATTGCAAAGAAGTTCTGAGAATTGAGGAGCTGAAATTGGAGAATAGGATTACTTACAGGGATAGATCTCGGAGATATGAACAAAAATCAACACGCCGGTGAAAAACCACTGAGAGAGATTTTGAATATCTCTGATCTGCGAGGACAGCGAGGAGTGAGAGAGAGAGAGAGAGAGACTGAGAGTGAAGAAATATTTCACGAATTTGGTTTGTTTTTAAATTCTTAGGGAAAAGCCCAAAGTTTTTCTTAGTTTTAATTAATTATCATAAAGGCAAATTCTTAATTAAGTGCATGTATTCACCATTTGTTCATTTCTTTTTCTTTATAAGACAATTCTTTTTTCGAGCCAACAAAATTAAAAAAAAAATTAACTAATCCTATACTATAAAAGTTGCTCATCTCTCTCCAGCTGACCGCCACGTCAGCACGAGAGATGGACACGAGGCAGACTCTACGATTTTCGTAGTTTTTTTTTTCTTTCCTTCTCTTAACGACAACGTTTTATAACACGAAACAAAACCTCACGTTGGTTCTCTTCGTCTTCTTCTTTCTCCTCTCTTTTCCTTTCGTTACGTCATCGATCTATCATTTCGCTCCGGAATCCGGAATCCGGAATCCAGATTCGTCCTACGTGATTTGATATACCTCTATTTTACCTACTTTTTATGCTATTTTACTATGGTTTTCTAATGGTTTTCTAGTGGATTCTTGTGTTAAAAGGTAGTTTTTATGGATTTATAGTGCAAAGAGTCATTTTAGGTAAAAAGGTGCATTATGGAGCAAAACAGAGATTTGGACTCTAAACCAGTTCAATGCCCCTGCATCAACTTTGGATGGAGCTAGAAAAAGATCTACTCAATGGATTTCATCAAGACCAGTTCCCTGCGTGCTCTGATTGAGTTAACTTTCCAACGCAACTGGAACGGCTTCATTTGGATGAGTAGAAAAGGAGTTATAGCCAAAAGAGTGAAGACTGCTCCAGACGGCTCTATCGAGAATCAGCGCCCAACCGCGCAGTCCGGCTGGCCGAGGAACGATGTTCCGCGCTCGGCCAAAGTATCCGTCCGACTGAAGTCTCGGCCAAAGTTCAAACCGACCGGCCGATCACGCAACACGACCCGGGAAACATTGTCCCGCGGTCGGCCAAGCCACAACCGTCACGCCACGCCGCGCACGACCATGCCGCGCGAGCCGGGAACAAAGCCTCGCGGCCGCGCAACCCTCGCGTACCACGGCCGATGCATCCGTCCGAGCCGGGAAAGAACGTCCCACGTCCGGCCGAGAAACCATCGGCCAAATCTCTCCCCGACCACGCCGGCCGACCGTGAAATCATCCGGCCACGACCGTTCCGACTCGGCCAAGACCCGACTGTCCGGCCGATCGTCCCGACCGACCGTCCGAACGCCGCGGTCGACCCGAAGCCGTTTTTGAAGCCCAATCCGCACAATTCAAGCCCAAAGCCGGCGCCGACCTAGCTAGATTAGGTTTAGCCGCTTCTCATACTTAGAGCATTATAAATACTTCTTTTTAGCCTTGTAACTCAAGAAGGAGAGAGACCACAATTATTTTACATCTTAATAAAGTTTTGCTTGCTTTTACTTTGTTCTTGCTTGTTACTCTTTCTAGAGAGGATTCGAATCTCTGTTCTTATGAATATGAATTCGTGTTCCTTCTCTATGTCTGAGTAGTTTACTTGTTAAGTGATAGGAAGTCAAAGGATAGCATTCATGTATGCTTGATGATTGATCACAATTAGGGTTTTACTTATAATCTCCATCTTTGCTTATACTTAATGCTTGTTGTTAATCTGGCCAATTAGCATATGCCTTTAGGTTGATTTGAGCCTCGACAGTGCTGTATCATTCGCCTGAACTAGTATTTGGTGGGCAATCTCTTTTAGACTGCGACAGTTGATCTACTTGTAGGTTGTGAACAATTGATCTTGATCGAACTAATGCTTGATTTAATCACCTAGGGACATACCAAAAGTTTAGCGACTAGGTAGATTAACAAAGGGGTCGGAGCCTCGACAGTGGAATGATCATACCATAGTGTTTCAAGTTCTAGATTAGCACCTAAGTGCGGTAACCCTAATTGATTGATTTCATGCTTCTTGAATTGCTTATCTCAAGACTATCCTATTGCTTAGCCTTTCTCTCCTATTGAATTCTCACTTTTATTACTTGCATGCTTTACTTTCTCTGCACTCAACCAACTTATACTTTTGCCCTAGCTTGATCTCAAACTCATAACTTGTAGTGTGCAATCTGGTCCTTGTGTTCGATACCCGTTTACTACTTCTGACCTGTGCACTTGCAGAATCAGGGATAGGAAAGGGGAAGACCTGATCCCGCGATCAAGTTTTCATTCAAAACCCCAATTCTTTTGCTTCTCTCTTCCTAGAATTATTTGACCTTGATTTCGCTCATCAATCTCTGGTTACTCGTGGGCTATCTACTTCTACGGAGACGGAAAGTCTTCGGAGGATAACTCGGCTTACGTCTCTCGGTTCATAGCTCTCGCTAGCGAAGAAGCTGATGTTAGGGCTCTGTTCGAGCTCACGCTCGTGGATCAGAGTGAAAATGGAAAGCACAAAGTCCGTACCCATTTGCATCTCTTTCACGACATTTACTGATCTTCTCTCGACTCTCCTGCCTCACTGCATTCCTCCGCCAGCCGCCGCCTCCACTCTCATTTTCCGTCAGATCCGCCTCAGATTCAGTCGCCGTTTCCGAATTTACCGATCCCTTCATCGCAAAACTCCCGCATCCTGCTCCCCGAGATATACACGGTCGATTTCCTCTATGCTCTTCTCTATCTCGATTTCTTATATTTCCTTTCGATCATACAGCCAATCACAGGTACATCTATGACGGATCCAACACTAGCTACGTCGCCGCTTCTGAACTTACCGATCCCTGCATCGCGAAAAGCCCGCCTCCTGGTCCCCGAGATATACACGATCGCATGGAACCTAAATTTCCACGGTAAATTCCAATTCCAATAATACTACGTCTGTTCATTTCCTCTATACTCTCTTTCTCGATTTCTTGGATTTCCTATCACCGAATAGAATTTCATTAGCCTTTACGAAATTGTTAAAAACTTGTCATATTCATATGTCTAGGCGGTATGTGCTGCTTACACAAAAAGAAGAGGTCAAATGCCAACAACAACAATCACAAATCCTATACCATCTTCTACACCACAACAATGGCTATGAGGAGACTTGGTAATTTCTTCCTCTTCTTCGCTTCATGTTTCTGGAAATACATCTTGCAGAAAGTCTCGCTCTATCTCTCTCTCCCTCTCATTCAAAATGGCTACCATTGGCAAACGATACAAGATGATACAGATTATTTACATATTTTTCGTTTCTTTGTTATTGTTATTATGATACCCACTTTCAGGGTTCCGTCACAACGGCCCCGATTGAACGACAATGATACGAGTATCCTCTTGTTTTCTAGAACGTAACGAATGTAAAAGATAAACCTTGTATTTCCAGAAATGTCAATACAAGCGAGAGATTTCACAGAGGTCTCTCCTCCTCTTTACAACTGACCAAATCTCTTGATAACGTTTACAATGCATAACAACCTATCTTTATACTACGACGACGCTTACACCTTCCCATGTGCATAGCTGGAAATATTCTAGAAGATTGCTGCAACGGAAAGATTCCCCTCATGTGCTCTTCCCTTCTCGTGCGATCATATCCACTCCTCGTTGACCCCTTGGTCAGATGTGAAGTGGGCCTCTGCTCTTATTCTGTTTCCCAGGCCCACTCAAGCCTTTGGGTCCTTCTCCCTTCTCTTGTAACGGTAAAGAATGGGTGGGCGCGTATCCTCGTATGTAACATTACTCCCCTCTTTGAAATTGACCTTGTCCTCAAGGTCGAAGTCCGGAAATCTCCTCTGCATTGATGATAAACTAGAAATAGGTCCTTTTCTCTACTGCAAATTATCAGTGATGAAGATTGTAATATAAAGGATTCGAAATCCAGAGGACCAGCGTTACACTGTGAAACTAGGAGATTTAAAACAGAGCTAAGACAAAGATTGATTGGTTTGTAACAGGTAACGAATGTAAACGTTGATGTAAACTTAATAAAACAAGCACTAGACCAAGGCAATTCGCAGGAGATTCACAGTTAACAACCAACAACTATTCAGGGCACATGATAGAACAGGTCTCGAACTCAAACAATCAATATGTCAATTCACTGTCGCGATAATAACAACTTTATCTAACAACCTAGATGTCTAAACTGTCGTTTGAATCTAGCAGTTGATGACAAGCAATGCGCACAGGTTCGATAAGTTCACGAATCGCCTTAGCATCAACTTTCGCAGGCTAAGGACGATTCGCTCACCACAGTTCGTTCTAACAACCTATTACACTTTTGATGAACAGGTAATCTGAGATCAGAGATCGAGTGATCAGATCGATCTAAGCAGTAATGCAACAATGGCGAAGACAGTATTAAAGCCCTATCTGTATTCAGTCAAGCTTAACACATGAATCCCTTTGAAAAGCCTAGATCTAGCAGGGTGACTACTCAGACATGAAACAGCAAACAAATACTGAATAGAATGTCATTGAATCAAATAAGAAAATAGCAAACAAAAGGGTTCAGAAATCTTCTCCAAACTGTGAAAACAATGGTTTGATCTCTTCTCCCTCAGAAACAATGAAAACAGTGTAAACTCTGAAAAACGGCGTAGCCTAAACAGTGGCTAAAGATAGGTCTAAATAGCTCCGGGGTCGACTTCGGTTCAATCCGGTTCGCTGTGGTTCGATCAAGTCGGTTTGCACCAAGTAGATCGAACGGCTGTGATATCATCTGACCGGGATTGATCGAACGGCTGAAACAGGGCAGAGATCGATCGAGCTGCATGGCATGGCGCGTGAGGTCGATCGATTCGTCTATAAGTGAATGAGATCGATCGAACCCCCTCCTGTTGTATGGGTTCGATCGAGCTGGGCGTCGTGACTAGTCGATCGATTCGCCTCTAAATGTACAGCTTGATCGAACCCCCTACTGTTGTATGGGATCGATCGAGCTGTTGTTCGGCATAGCTCCGTTTTGCCTGCTTTCGCATGTTGTTGGTCCATGTGACCAAAGCTCTCCCTGGAACGTCTTTAGACCTGAAAAGACTCGATAAAGACTAGAAAGACTCGATAAAACTCGTGAAAACAAGGGTTAGAATGCGTCAAATACGCAAGATATCAACTCCCCCGGACTTAGCTTTTGCTTGCCCTCAAGCAAACATAAATTCCAAGAATAGGGAAGAAGTTTGAAAACGCGGGAACTCACAAATCATCAGCAACCATACCCCGAAGGATCATCAGTAGACCTCAAAGGACAAGGTTCGGTCAGTGCATAATCACTGTAGTCCCCTTGAAGTCTCGCATTCCTGATCCCGTGATGAACCTCCATCCTGCAGAAACTCAAGCTACACATTGGTTAACTCTCTACATTCATTAAGGTTTGGCGTGGACCTCTTGATATACCTCTAATTTACCCACTTTTTATACTGTTTTAGCATTGTTTTCTAATGGTTTTTGGCAGGTTTTCTATCTAAAAAGGTAGTTTTACTGTGTTTATAGTGTCTAGAGTCTAAACAGGTGAAATGATGCATTTTGGAGCAAAACCATAGGATTTGCACTTCAAGCAGCTCCATGCACAAGCACCAACTTTAAGAGGGCCCAGAAAAAGATCTACTCAATGGATTTCATCAAGACCAGTTCCCTGCGTGCTCTGATTGAGTTAACTTTCCAACGCAACTGGAATGGCCTCATTTGGATGAGTAGAAAAGGAGTTATAACCAAAAGAGTGAGACTGTCCAGACGGCTCTATCGAGAATCAGCGCCCAACCGCGCAGTCCGGCTGGCCGAGAAACTATGTTTCGCGCTCGGCCAAAGTCACATCCGTCCGACTGAAGTCTCGGCCAAAGTCCAAACCGACCGGCCGATCACGCAACGCGACCCGGGAAACATTGTCCCGCGGTCGGCCAAGCCAAACGCTCCACGCCACGCCGCGCACGACCAAAGCGCGCGAGCCGGGAAACAAGCCTCGCGGCCGCGCAACCCGTTCGCGTACCACGGCCGATGCATCCGTCCGAGCCGGGAAAGAACGTCCCACGTCCGGCCGAGAATCATCGGCCAAATCTTCCGTCCGACCACGCCGGCCGACCGTGAATCCATCCGGCCCGACCGTTCCGACTCGCCCACGACCCGATTGTCCGGCCGATCGTCCCGCACGACCGTCCCAACGCCGCGGTCGACCCGAAGCCCTTTTTGAAGCCCAAACTTATATTTTCAAGCCCGGCTTAACCCTAGCCGCCTCTAAAAGACCTAGCACTATATATATGGATTTTTAGCCTCTTGTGAAAGAGAGCCGCCCTTGTATTTCGATTTCCTACTCTAAGTTTTATTGCAATCATGTTTTCTTCATCTCTATGTGTGTTTGCTTTGATCATGTCTGAGTAATCCACTAGTTAGGTTGCTAGGGTTACTATTCAATGAGTTGCTTGCATGATCTTTGATTTCAATGATTAGCTAGGGATTATATTAGAGTCTTTGTCTCGTCTTGTGCACTTAACTAATGCTGATTGCTTTACCGCGCATCTAGTAATCCGATCTTAGGTTGATTTGAGCCTCGACAGTGCTGTATCATTCGCCGGACATATTCTTTGACAAGCTAGGTTTCTTAGACTGCGAAAGTTGATCTATCTATATCTAGTGAACTGTATCAGAACCTATTCATTCTAATGCTTGATCTAATCACCTAGGGACATACCAAAAGTTTAGCGACTAGGTAGATTAGCAAAGGAGCCGGAGCCTCGAAAGTGGAATGGTTTTATATTCGTGATCTGTGTTCTAGATGGTTCTTAATATCCCAATATCCCTAATCAATTAATCTATCATTGTTTCATTGATCATTGCTTGCTTCTCTGCGATAGCCCCTATGACCTAGCGCTTTTCCTTTATTGCTTACAACCTCGTTATACTTGCTAGTTCGGTTCACCATTACAACCTCAATCATACTTTTGTTTTAGCTTGATCCAAAATCCATAGTTACAAAGTGTACTCAATAGCCAGTCCTTGTGTTCGATACCCATACTTCCGCGATCTGTGCACTTGCAGAGGTCTAGGAGTTTGGTAAAACCTGACTCCGCATCAAGTTTTTGGCGCCGTTGCCGGGGACTGCAGCAGTACCTTTGGAACTCGACTAGGATCTAGTCTAGAACCTTTTCCTGTTTTACTTTTCTTTTGCTTTTGAATTTTTAGTTTTTGATTTCCTTTTCTTTGATTTTTACTTTTGTTTTTGTTTTTCCCTTTTGATTTAACTTGTTTCCAAGACTCTTTTCAGGTGCATGACTAGGAGGTCCAACAAGGACAACCTAGTTGAACATCCAGAGATAGACAAGCTTGAGAAGCAACTTAGGAAGCAGAAAGCCCAAGAGATGGCCGACGAAGCAGCTCGCGCTCACGCCGCTGAAGTGGCGCGCGCTCAAGAAGAAGGAAGAGATCCACCTCCTCCTCCTCCTAATCCACAAGACCCTGCTGGAGATGTGAATGCACAACCCCAAGCTGGAGCACCTACAATCGGAGACTATGACTCTGCCGATGCTTTCTTCATGGATAGAAACCCTATCCATCCACCACCACCTGCAAGGAATGACTATGAGATCAAGCCTCAGATCATTGCATTGGTTAGACAGAACCAATTCAATGGACTTCCAGCTGAGCACCCTCTTGATCACATAGAAAACTTTGAAGAAATTTGCAGCACTACAAGATCCAATGGAGTCTCTGCTGACTACCTTAAGTGCAAGCTCTTTTCATTCTCTCTTGGCGACAAAGCTTCAAGATGGTTGAAGTCTCTGCCAGCTCACTCCATCACCACTTGGGATGAGTACAAGGCTGCATTCATCAACCACTTCTACACCAAGCAAAGATCAATTTCTGTGAGAAACAAGATCTCCACTTTCGCCAAGGCAACAATGAGTCTTTCTATGAGGCGCTAGATCGATTCAAGGAGTACATTAGGGACTGCCCTAATCATGGTTTCAATGAGGGAAACCTATGGAACATCTTCTATCGTGGCATTGACCACAAGTACAAGCTTTCATTGGACACAGCAAGCAATGGAAACTTCATGACCAAGACTGTTGATGAAGCTAAGGTTCTTATTGAGAATCTTGCAGCTAGTGATTGTAACAACTGTCCTGATTATGACCGCTCAAGCCGCACCACTACTAGCTCCCCTGATTCTTTTCAAATGACTGAACTCAAGAACATGATGGCTCAAGTTCTTAAGGGACAGCTCAAGCATATCAATGCAATAGAAGGGATGAGTGATGCTAATGAAGATTCATCAAGAGAATGCATGGGAGATTTCTCTAATGAAGCCAATGAAGAAGATGTGAACTACATTGGAAACTATGGGAACAAGGGATACAATCCAAGCTATCGCCCAAACCCCAACATGTCTTATAGAAACCCCAATGTGGAGAATCCTCAAGACCAAGTGTATCCTCCAAGGTATCCACAACAACAAAGACCTCCTTACCAATCTCAAGGAAGTCAATTTCAGCCAAGGCAAGGATATGAGCAGAGATCATCATATCCGCCCAAGGAGCCATATGCTTCTTCACCAAATCAAGCTCCTCCAAACCAACAAGGTGGGAGATTTGAAGGAATCCTCCAACAGATCATGGATGGCCAGAAGAGAAACACTAAAGAGATGTATGAGAAGATGGACACTTTGTTCAGCAATCTCAACACCAAGTATGATGCTGTTGCCACTCATGTGAAGAAACTAGAGACTCAAGTCACTCAAACTATGGAAGCTGTTAAGAGACAGGAAGCTGAATCCAAGAAGTCCTTTTGCAACTCAGCCGCCATAGAAGAAAGATTTGAAGACCAAGTTCCAGAATGGATGCTTTCAAAACCTACTGTTGATTGCATGATTTGGCCTGAAGAGAATTACCCAGAGAGAGAGTCCAATCGAGCTAGAAAGAGAAGACTCTTCCCAAAGATTATCCCCAAGACAGATAACTCAGGAAAGTTTGTGTGCCTTGTATCATCAAAGGTAACATTCTTGAGCAATCTTTGTGTGACACAGGAGCCAATGTGAACATCATGTCTAAGAGGATAGCTGACAAGATAGGCCTCACCAAGATAGAGCCATCATCCATCTCCATCAACTATGCTGATTCATTCTCACAAACACCCTATGGCTTTGTGCCTAATGTGATGGTGCAGATTGGAAATTGCTCTATCCCTACTGATTTCCAGATTGTGGAAATGAGAGAGAGTAGCCATAGACCTCTCATATTTGGAACCCCTTTCCTGTCTACTGTGGGTGCCATATTTGATTTCCCCAATCAAAGAATCTCTTTCAACAAGGTGAACAAGGGTATGTTCTTCCCTATGTGTTCAACAAAGAACTCTTTTGTTGACATGGTCCAAGAGGAGAAAGCTACTTTGAAGCCACCCCAAGAAGGAGAAACTGAAGAAACAATCAAGGAAGATCCCATTCCTAAGCCCAAGCAGCTTGCCAAACAAGCAAGGAGTAAGACTAAGGCCCCTACACCAAAACCGCCCAAGGGATCAACCAAGATTGAAGATGAGGCCAAGCCAAGAAGAAGGTTAGAAAACCTAGGTCTGGCCGCAACATGAAGCTTCTATTCCCAAGGAGCTTATTGATGAGAATCTAGAAGGATTCAAGGAGAAAGTGACAAGAACTCTAAAGCTTTTTCCTAAGGCAGTAGTGCCAAGGGACATTCATGGAGAGATTGTCTATCCAGCTGTGAATCACCCACCAGATACTCATTGCAAGGAGAAAAGACTTGGAGGATCAAAGATGCCTCTTGTCTCCATCTTCTCCTGAGCGCCAAGCCTTACAGTCAAGCTAAAGACTTAAAACAAGCGCTGCATGGGAGGCAACCCATGAGGTACTTTTACTTTTCTTTCTTTAATTTTCTTAGTTTTTGTTTTGCTTTTGTGTTTTCTTTGTTTTAAGATAGGATAGAAGGAGAAAAAGGTGTGAAAACACAATCCGCGCCAAAACATTGGCCGCGGACGGCGAGCCGGGAAGGAACAAGCCGTGCTCGGCCGGATTCGCTCACATCGCGACAGAAACCGTTCGCGCGGCACGCACGAACCGGGAAGATAGGCCGCGATCGGCCGAAATTTTCGTATCGGAACGGACCGACCGTGCCGGTCGATCCGGGAAACAACGCTCGGCCTCGGCCGAAATTCTCGGCCAAAACAATTTGGCCGACCAAATCGCTCGACCGCGACAAATCCATCGGCCATCGGCCCAAACTTTTCTAGGCCAAGGTAAGTCCCCTTTTCATTAATTCAAACCGGTTTTAACCAATCTAAACCAACTTAAACCGGTTTTCAATCAAAATTCGAATTTGAAAAGGAAAATTGATAGGATTTAGATCTTATTTACTTCACCTTTCCCTTGAAAACAACAAGAACCTCTCTTTCTTCTCCAAAACCCTAAACTCCATTAGAGGAACTCTAAGAGTTTTGATTTCAAAACTTTTACTGTTCATAACTCTAAATTGGAATTTACTTGCTCTTGCAACCTTATTCACTTTTCAACACACAAGGTATGTCTTCTAACTCTAATCCTATGTTTATGCAAGATCGAAAATCTCAATAAGTTTCATGTTTGGTCTAAACTCTTGTCTAGACTTGAAATTAGCATCCTTATAGTCTTGTAATGAACTTTGCTAGGTGGAACCTAGGTGGTTTAGAGTTAATTTGAAGTTTAATTTCACAATTGAATAGTTTTTCACAAAACTTATTGGGCATTCCAAACCCCTTATTCAAAGGTGAAATTGCTTAGGCATACTTCAATTCATTAGTTTATCTAGTGATTACTTGGATTAGAAACTCAATTTCTCTTGATTTGCTGAAAATTTTGATTTTAAGCACCATAATCTTGGGATGAACAGTAAAATCCGAAAATTAACTTTGAAAAAGTGAAATTTCTATTTTGTCTCTTTGATTCATGATTAAGCCTTGAGTTGTTCCTTTATTCCATATCATTATTACAACTCAATTAGCTTATTCTTCTTTTGCATTAATCACAAACTCATATTTCTTCCCAAGAATTTGCTCTTGTAGGTACACAATGGCAAAGACAAAAGGAAATGAGAGTATGAAGAAGAAGAAGAACCCATTCATGCAACCACCAAAGAAACAAATCAAGCTAGGGAGTAGTAGCTCCAATGCAAGAGCAGCAATACCAACTTCACCACATTCCATTGATGCAATCAAGAACATGTGGAGAGTCCAAGAAGAGGAGAAGATGATTGGGCACTTGTAACCTTTGTTGGAGAACAAAATCAAGACCCAAGAAAGTGTAAGAAGGCAATGGAGAAGGTGAACATCGAGCCATGTGTGAAGATGGACACCCAAACCCTTGATCTTCTCAAGATAAGAGATGATGTCACATGGTACATAAGGAAGCTAGGCTTGAGCAAGCTCTTCAAGCTAGAGTGTAGTGAGTACTCACAACTCACCAAGGAGTTCCTCTCCACAGTAGCTCTTGCCTTTCCCAACCACAATGGAGACCAACCAGCTGGTGATGGACTCCTACTCTTCAAGATAGGCGATGCCAATGGGCGCATCTCCATCTCAGCTCTATGCCAACTCTTTGGACTTCCCAATGAGACAGCACATGACTTCAAGGAGAACTCAAAGAGGAAACAAGCTGCCTTTGCTGATTGGACACACTTTGCCAATGAACCATTCTTGCCTTCAAGGTCAAAGGTGTCTAGAATCACTCATCCAGCCATTCGCTATGTGCACCGCCTCATCTCCACCACTTTCCAATGCAAACAAGAAGCCAACAAGGTCACAACTGATGAGTTCTACATCCTCACCACACCATTCATCAAGCATGAGTACAAGGCCAACCTTGGACTTTTACTTGCCAAGACATTCATCAATGTGAGGAAGCTAGCTCAAGACTTGGAAGGCAACAAGAAGCTTTGTGTTCGTTTTGGGAGGCTTATCACGGCCATAGTACTGCATGTGGGGATTGACATTCCCAACTATGAGCCACTACCCAAGCCAACCCCTTTGGATCTCCATGCTCTTCAGCACATCCACTTCCTAAACCGTTGGACTAAAGACCCAACTCGGTTTTGCTATGAGTTTCCAATTGGTCCAGCCAACACTTCCCTTGTCTTGCTGCCACATGAGACATCCCAAGCCTACGCTCAGGAGTTGTCACTTTCCAGCCCAATGAGGAAGACTTCTATGTTCCATCAAGTGAGAAACCATCATTCCCCATGCTCACCTATCGCACACTTCAGCATGCAGTCAAGACTCAACGCCGCCTCCAAGAACGCCATGTTCTCACTACTGGCATGGCTGCGCATCTAGACCGTGTTAACAAGCTGGAGAAGATAGTGGAATGCCAATCTCGCTTCATCTCGCGCCTAGTCCGCGTAGTTCGCCACATTGCACCGGAGAGACTCTTTCGCCCTTCTTCCACCGCTAGAGAGCCATATGAGCCTGACCTTGGTGAGTTCTCACTAGACTCAGAGCTTGGTTCAGAAGGCGATGACCCCATAGATGAGGAAGAGAGTTCTTCTCACTGCCACACATAGTCATCTCAAGTGGTACTAGTGCAATGGTGATGTACTTGCATTTTACATAGTTTTAGCACATCTTTTATGCATCTTTTGCATAGTTTTAGCTTCCATTTGCATCATATCTTGTTCCTTTTCTCTTCTTATGCATTCATGTTAGTTTTAGGTTGCATTTGCATACATATGCATGTTTGGTCCTTTGAAATAGGTCTTTTGGAGCATTCTGGAGCATATGGGACACAAGGAGCATGGAGGGACTTGGCACATGGAAGCAGCTCAACTGGATACGCAAAGGAAGAAGGGAGAAGCCATCTTGAAGACCAGCTCGACCGTCCACTCGACCAACCGGTCGAGTTCCTCAACTCGACCGGCCAAGCTTCAACTCGATCGAGCTGGAAGTCAAAGTCAAACCCGAAAAATGTTGCTTCCCCCTTGACTTTCCTTTGACCCTAAACCTAATCCTCTTTGTATTTAAAGGCTCTAAGCCACGAAAAAACCACCAAGCTTTAGATTATTTTGTTTTAGTTTCTTTTAATTTATTGTCTTTTACTTTTTAGAGATCTAATCCCATCTTTGTGTTCTTGAAGCTCTTGCTTCTTGAATCTAGATCCTGGATAATCTCTCTTGTATTTGCACTTGCTTATTTCAATAAAAGTTGTTTAATTTCATCTCCTCTTTCTTATGATGTCTCTTTTATTGCATTTGCTTGTGTTTACATTCATGTGTAGTGAGTAGTTACCCATTGGGTTTGAGATGGGATAGATTAGAGGTTTCATATGCTTAATCCTTCTAGCTTATGGTCTTAATCTAGATTCTCTCTCTTTTGGATAGATCTTAAGGCTACATGACCACTACCCCTGGCTTGTAAGTCCTTAGGCGACTCCCCACACGAAAGTGATGGCATTCGCTGGAAAAGATCCACTAAGAGCTCCAATATCTCTTGCTCTAGACAATAGAGGTCTAAGGGGTTGGATGGATTAGTTTGGGCAATGATCCTATAGCCTCCAAGGTTTGATTCTCACTGGCTAACCCCCTGTTTCTGAGATCATTCCTTGGTTGATAGCCTCCACCTTGGGAAAGGGTTGGCTAGGCATTGAGAAGCCCAATATCAAGAGAAGCCTTGATACAAGGAGTTTTAAGAGCTAGATTGATTAAGTGTAGATTCCTTTGATTGCAAAACCCTGTCTTGAACCCTAATTCTCTCTTTATCTTGTTAAAGTCGTCACCTTTAGCTTTGTTTGTCTCAACTCGTCCCTAAACTCGATCGAGCTGGTACTTTGCTCTGACTCGACTCGAGCTCTTGGTCGAGCTGACACTTCACTGCTTTGTTTACTTTTATTGCACTGCTTTTCATTTTTTTAGGTTGTTAGTGTTACTTCAAATCTATAACTGCTTGCTTGACTTTCGGTTGTTTCATATTCTCAAAGAGTGACAAGTTTCCCATTTTGGATTGATAACCTCTTATACTTCAATGACTATGATGGTTAAGAGGAATTGATTGATTGTGATTGCACCATACCATTCATCTTTATTCACCCTGTTTGCATTCCACCTCATTTCATATCACATCCACACAAAATCCTATCATCAATTTGGCGCCGTTGCCGATTTGGGAATATTTTTGTTGCATTTGAGTTTCAAACACACTTGGACGATCAAGCTATACCACCCCTGTTCTATTGTACTGCTGGGTTTTTGTCTCTTTTTGCAGGTGTATGCGAACTCGATCGAGTCGGTCTACTGAAGACTTGGTCGAGCTAGACTTACAACGGGTAGAAAGAGGGTTCAGAGGTCACAGAGGGTACAAGAGGAACCTGAGGTGCTTGTTGCTGATACAATGGATGTACCAGAGGGGAATGGAAACCCTTTGGGCAATGGACTCGGTCGAGCTAGGCAAACTCGACCGATTGGTCAAGGAGATGCTCCAAACCGCCACCAACAGAGACAAGGGATTGTTCCACCACCAGTGCAGAACCACAACTTTGAGATCAAGCTGGGAATGATCAACCTTGTCCAGAACAAGATGTTCCATGGATTGCCAAGTGAAGACCCCATTGACCACCTTGATGAGTTTGATAGGCTTTGTGATTTGACAAAGATCAATGGTGTCTCTGAAGATGCCATCAAGCTGAGACTCTTTCCTATGTCTCTAGCTGACAAAGCTCACCAATGGGAGAAGAGCTTGCCCCATGGCACAATCACCACTTGGGATGAATGCAAGAAGGCCTTTCTTGCTAAGTTTTTCTCCACCGGTCGCACAGCCAAGCTTAGAGGAGAGATATCCAGCTTCATCCAGCGAAACAATGAGACATTCGCAGAGGCTTGGGAGAGGTTCAAAGGCTACACAAGTCAGTGCCCACACCATGGATTCAACAATGAATCCTACTCTCCACTCTTTATAGAGGATGCTTGCCTAGGTATAGGGAGATGCTAGACACAGCTAGCAATGGGAACTTCCTCAACCAGGATGTAGATGATGGCTGGCAACTTGTGGAGAACATAGCTAACTCAAATGGAAGCTATGGAGAAGAGTATGATCGCACCAACCGGAGCTCGACCCACCACTCGATCGAGTCAGACGAAAAGTTGAGAAAAGATGTTAAGGCATTGAATGAGAAGTTGGATAAGCTGATCCTAGCTCAGTCCACAATGAAGAAAGTCAACTTTGTGTCTGCTGAGGAGATGGAACCAGTCCAAGAAGGGGAGGATACACAATTTGCTGAGGTGTGCTACATGAGCAATGGGCAAGGAGGTTACAACAAAGGATACTATAACTACAAGTCCAACCCTGCCATGTCATACCGCAACACTGATGTTGCTAACCCTCAGGACCAAGTATATCCTCAACAACAAGCAGCTCGATCGAGTCAGGTGCCACAACATGGGTATGGTCAAAAGAACAATTACCAAGGACCACAAGGCACTTTCCCTGGACAACAAATGAATATCCCACCAGGCTTCCCCCACCAACCGCCCCAGCCTGCACCTTCACAAGAGAATGAGCTCAAAGCAATGCTAAAGCAACTACTTCAAGGGCAAGCTGATGGGGTAGTGGACACAAGCAAGAAGCTAGCTGAAATAAACTCTAAGATCGAGAACCTCAACACAAGGGTTTACTCTCTGGAGAATCATGCTTCTTCTGTTGCTGCTGCTACAAAGCAAGGACAACTACCTGGTAAAGCTATTCAGAACCCCAAGGAACAGTGCAAGGTCATCTTCACTCAAGAAGGACTTGTTGAAGAAGAGGATCAAGAAAGGGTCATTGAAGATTTTTGTTTACTGCTGAATGATGAAGAGATTGTTGCTGCTGAGGCTCCTGGAGTCCAGATTGATCAACCAGAAGTGCATGCACCTACTGTGGCCATTCACACTTCACCAGTTGAGCTCGCACGACAAGCTCGATCGGCAGCTCGATCGAGTCCAACTCTAGCTCGATCGAGTCCGACCTCTTCTGTCCGACAGCCTGTTTTGCTTGATCCTTATCAACCGGTTGCCGCTTCCTCGTCTCGCCTACTTAGTCAAGGTCACAAGGAAGTGATTCACAAGTTCAGAAGAGATCTCAGTGGGATTGGAATTGAGTTGCCTCTATGGATAGCATGAGTGAGGCATTTGATCAAATGCAAATGGTCAAGGATGTTCTAGCCAACAGTGATAAAGTTTCAGAGGTCCTACAAGAGTCTACTCATCAGTTCAACCTGCTTACTTCACCCACCTTCCTACCAAAGGTCAAGGATCAAGGGAAATTCACTCTCCCTTGCACACTTGGGCATCTTGAGATTGACAATGCCTTAGTGGATTCTGGAGCAAGCATCAATCTGATCTCTCTCTCCATGGCAGAGAAGCTAGGCATAGCTGGAGCCTTGCAGCGCCCTACTACTTCAATCATGTTTGGAGATGCAACTTCTAAGTCTCCTCTTGGAGTGTTCAAGAACTATCACTTGAAAATTGGAGAATGCATCATCCAAACTGATCTCACTGTGATGGAAATGGAAGAAGAGAAGGATTTGCCTCTGTTATTGGGAACCCCTTTCCTTAGTACAGTTGGCGCTTCAATAGACTTTCACAAGCAAGAAGTGATCCTTCACAAGGTGAATAGTTTGGTGTCATATCGCTTGCAGCCTAGAGGTTCAGACTTTTGTGCCACAATTGACAGTACCAATCTCAGTTCTAAGAGTCATGGAGCTACAAAGGTTGTGAAGGAAAGGGTTGACAAGGAACCAAGAGTTGGGAAGGATAAGGATGAGAGAGGACCAAGGATTGAGAAGCCACGTCTTGAGAGGGCTAGAGTTGAGAAACCACGATCTGATAGGCCAAGAGCTGAGAGACTTGTTCAAGCCCCTTGTGTGCTTGATGAAGAGAGCCTTCAAGCTTTGTTTGATGAGCCACTAGGAAGGGCTCTAAAGAAGGGGAGGATGCAGCCTCTAAGGCAAGACCAGGAGATAAAAGAAAGGATCCACCAGCTCAGGCCCCTTCAGTCAAGCCATCTCAGCTCACAATGACTTTGTTCCCCACCAAGTTTGAAAATGGGAAGATTGAGTACAAGATAAGGTACAAGGGGAGATCAAGGCCATTCTCTAGAGCCAAGGCCTTGGTGACTTCAGAACAGTCCAGGGACCCAACCAAGCTAAAGGAGCTTCTGTCTCAAGTCCTCACTATCACCCTTGATGGTGGGACTAGCTCAACCAATGCCTAAGAAGGTAAAGGTCAAGCTATGGGACCTTAAACAAGCTCACTTGGGAGGAAGTCCCATGTTTATCCTTGTACATACTCTATTTATGCAATTTCTATCTATCTTTATGTTTTAACCTTTGAATAAGTTAAGTTTAGGTGTCAAGGAGCCAGCTCGACCGATAGCTCGATCGAGCTAGAAACCAGGGCAACTCGATCGAGCTACACAACTCGACCGAGGTAAGTTTTTGAATTTCAAATTCATAACCGTTTTCTTGGTCAAGGGAGTGGGTCCCACAAGCTGATTTTGGTCCCCCACTACCCTAATTTGATCAGAGAATCCCTAGTTTCTTGTTCCCTCTTTATTTCATCTTTTAATCTCAACCACACATCTCAAACACCCCTCTTCCCCATAACTCGATCGAATCCACTCTCTCTCTCTCCCACAATCTTAAAATTTCTGAAATCATCCTCTCTCTTCACCACAAGAAATTTTCGAATCTCTCTTTCTCTCTTAAGTTTTTGCGATTTCTCTTGTTCTTCACATTTGTTTGGGTTCTAGTTTACTGTCTTCAATTCATCATTCAAGCAAGGTATGAACCCTAAAACCCTTGATTCCCATCTCGATTTCCTATTGCTTGTTTCTCTTTGATTTTTGATTGCATGTGTCCCTTGTGGACTTGTTCTTGAGTAATTGCCCTCATATTTCGCCTCTGCTGTATAATCTTGTTAGTTTGTTTCACCTCACCTCTGTTTTGCCTTTAAACTTGTTGCATGTGCTTGAAATTGAATTTGAGTTTGGTATTGGTTAAGATGCTTAGTCTTCACTAGAATTGCTCATTGTTCCATTTACTAGTTGTTCTTGGTTCAATTTGATTGATTAGCATCTTTTCCAGCTCTTAATCTTGAATTAGGTTTGGTTATACTCTGTTTTCACCCAACTCGATCGAGTTTGTCACTCGAGTTTTTTGACTCGATCGAGCTGAGTGTCGAGTTGACCAAACCGATCATTACAACTCTAATTCTTTGTAATCTTTGATGCATTTCAGGTACTTTAGTGAAGAAACAGAGTAACAAGGATGACAAACAGTGAGGGAAGCCGCGCTTCACAGAGGAGAATGGTTGAGGGTGAATCAAGCAATGCAAGAGAGAAAGGCTTAAGATGCAAGCCGATTTGGAAGAGGATGGATCAGAGGATGGAAGTCTGATGCAGAGGAGTATGTCTACTCTGAGGAACAGTCTGAGAGTGAGAGATTGAGGGAAGAAAGGAGAACCAAGAAGAGGAATGACCCTATAGTAGTGAGAGTGAGCAAGGGGAGTTTGAGATTGGAGTGAACCTTGTTCAAGAGGGGGAAATGGCTCTCCAAATGAGGAAGGAGTGAGGAAACTGAGAGTGATGAGGAAGGAGAAGAGGTGAACCAATTGGTTGATGAAGATGACAAGAGGGAACCAAGATGAGCCAATGGAAGAGGCTGAGGAAGAGCAAGAGGAGGATGAGCTCCCCATGTACCAAGAGCACTACAATGCTCTCTTCTCCATGGACTTTGTGGAGACCAAGTACCCACATGATGACACCATGAGAGATCTTGGATCTTTGAGGATGTGGAGTTGGTCTCAAGAACATGCAATTGGCCAAGTTCTTCTCTCACCGCATGGAGTCTTACAAGGAGCTTGACTTGTGAGTTTTTGGCGTCGATGAGCATCACAGTTTGATGAGCTCGATCGAGCTGAGTTGGACCAAGGCTGGGGGTACATAACTTTCTAGCAAAGGGAGAGAAGAAGATGGTGACCTTTAGGCAGCTTGAGATACTGTTTGGGTTCACTATGGAGAAGGTAACCTGGAACATCAAGGAAGAAGAACTCCAAAGAGTTGGGCTACAATCGCTGAAGAGGGGTACTCTTCCTCAAGGTCCAAGGCTGCCAGATCAGGAGCCTGTGCTTAGATATGTCCACAAGGCTCTTGCCAACACCTTCTTTGCAAGGAAAGCCACTGGACAATCAATGAGGGAGAAGTGAAGCTCCTTGACATGGGAATCAAGCCCATCATCTCACGCACAAGGATGGGAAGAAGATCAGAGGAGACAGGGCACACGCAGGGAATCTCATGCCTCTCCTTGAGCAGCTCCAAGCCTACAAGGTCACAGCTTACAACACTAGGCACCAAAGAGGAAGAAAGCTTAGTGTTGGAGGGGTGATCACACCAATTCTTTGTGCAGCTGGAGTTCAAGTGGACAAGAGAAGGTCTACTCCACCAGGTTGGATGGACATCAAGTTTTGCAAGACCAACCTCCTCATTGAGCACAAGGAGTTGGATGGGAGATTCCAATTCAAGTTCACCACCATTGGCTGGACTCCTCCAAGCTTCTTCTGCCCAACCCTGAGCTCACCACGGTCCTAGGAGGTACAACATTGACTTCAGACCCCCTGTGTACACTTTGTTGGGCATGAAGCGATTTGCAGAAGAAGAGATCGAGCTCGATCGAGCTGAGGATCGAGCTGAGGCTCAAGCTGAAGATGGAGTGCAGGAAAGCGCTGATTTGGGTGAGCCTGAGTGCTATTACTTTGAGGAGTATGAGGCTCCAAGGATGAACCCCTCTGTTGTGGCTGCCACAAGAGGATTGGACTTCTCCAAAAGTTCAACAAATGGCAAGGGAAAGCCATGGAAAGATGCAAAAGTCCATGGACAAGATGGTGAGCAAGATCAAGAGTTTGGAGAAGAAGTTTCTGGTTCTTCAAGCAAGAAGAAGAAGTCCAAGGCTCCCACTTTCCCTAGGAGTAGGTCACTCCTCACCACTCCAAAGGAGGCTCCCTGCCCAAGAGCCTCACAGAGCCTCTTCTTTCGAGCCAAGGGAAGGAGAAGACAACACGCAGAGAAGGAGGAAGACTTCCAAGGCCAGACGCTCCAGCTCGACCACCGGACTCGATCGAGTCCAAACAGAGGAAACTCAACTCGATCGAGCTGACGGTCGAGTTGACCTGGAGGAGCCCCAGTTCGAGATCCGGGATTTGAATACGATCCCAGCCTTACCAGGAGCCTCCCCGGAGTAGATGGAACCCCTATGGACAGTACGAGCTACCAATGCTCCACCAAGGCCAAGGAAGCCACACACATTTCAACGATGAAGAAGAGGAGGAAGAGGAGCCACAAGCTCGATCGAGTGAGCCGCAAGAGGCAACCCCAGTTGCATGGAGTGCTCCTGATGGCCGTCTCCCATCTCCAGACCACGACCTAGTCTCCCAGTTCTTTGGGGGACACTGAGGTATCCAAACACCAACCCTTGTATATACCATTTCATATTTTCTTGCATTTGTTCTTGTTTTTTCTTGGTTTTGCCCTCTTGAATCTTTCACTAAATTTTTCTCACACAAGGGACTGTGTGATTTAAGTTTGGGGGAGGGTTCAAGAGATGATTTAACCTTGTTTTCTTTGTTCTTAGTTTTTCATTTATCTTTTGCATAGAAAAACCAAAAAAATCATAAAATTTTCAAAAAATCCAAAAATATTTTCATCTTTTTGCATTCATATTTGTTAGACTTGTTTAGGATTGCATTTTTCACTTGCATTGTTGATTTGACTTTGAAAACTTGTCCATCTTTTGCGATTTCTTGAGTGCCCTGTTTTTAGATTCTTTTGTGCATTAGGGTGAGATTGATTGAGCAGCAAGAACCATGTTTATCTTGATCATATCACTGCATGCACATCTCATTCAACCATTGCTGTGATTTGATGCATTTCCCTATAACTTGATCTTTAACCATGCTTGCATTTGATTTCAACTCATGGCACAACTCATGGCTACCACATTACCATTTTCATATCCCTTTTGCTTGTCCAGATAGCTGATCTCTATCTTTGAGACAGTTACCACACCTTAAACCTAAGCCTTTTCATTTCAAACCCCATTATTATCTCTTGTGCGAATGTGAGAACCTTTCTTGGCTTTGCTTAGCATAAGGTGTTGTGTTTAAACCGGCAGGGGCAGTAGTTCTAGTTGTCTAGTTCTCTTGGGATTGTTTTCAGGCTAAGTTTGGGGGTGCCAACTCGAGCTCGATCGAGTTGGGTGTAAAAACCAGAAAAGTGGTAAAAGTTGGGAAAAACCCAAAGGAAAAAGAGTTTGGTTAAGTCCAGGGAGTTGGCAGTGTTAAAAGGGTCTAGTAAAGGTTTGGGAAGTTAAAAAAGGAAAGTAAAAAGGGTTCTAAGTAGAATGAAAAGAAGGCAAAGCCTCAAGTGTCCAAAAAGGAAAGAAAAGTTCCCTAAGTGTTTAGAAAATCCCAAACCGCTAGATGTTACCTCAAGAAGCCTCTCCCTAGGAAGTTCTTAAAAGAAAAGTGAGCAAAGCTCCTCAGTTTCAAAGGCGAAATGCCAAAAAGGGTAGTTAGGATTTTGTTCTAAAAAGCTCTAAGTGTTGAACTCGATCGAGTTAGGATTAGGCGGCTCGAGCTGCTGTTCTTGCATCATCTTTGGTTCTAACACTTAGCCTTCTGCCAAAGCAAAGCCACTTTCTTGAGAGATCCCTGTTACTAAACCACCATACAAAAGAGACCCTCTTTGTCTCTTAACCCATAAACCCTTGAAACCAAATGAGTTGATTGATCTTGCATGTTTTTGGTTCACTGTTTTTGCTTAATGAATGTTAAAGGGATTTGCTGATTTGAATGCATTGTTTGAGTGACTGTGAAGTGGGATTGATGTTGATAAGCATGGTTAAATCTTAATGAATATCTCTCACCTTGTTGCATTCTAGAATCTCTAAGTTGGACATTTAGCAAATCGCTTTTGAGGACATGTTTTTAAGTGTTGAATCAGCTTTTTCAAACCTCATCTCTTTCTTGTTCTATTTGTTTGCTTGAGGGCAAGCAAAGTTCAAGTTTGGGGGTGTTGATGTACTTGCATTTTACATAGTTTTAGCACATCTTTTATGCATCTTTTGCATAGTTTTAGCTCCATTAGCATCATATCTTGTTCCTTTTCTCTTCTTATGCATTCATGTCAGTTCTTCTCTCTCATGAACAGTCGGAACCTGTTGTAGTGAGGTAAATAAAAAAATATAATCAACTCACAATCTTTACTTAATGTTACGCTATTTTCCAGGTCTTAAACCAACCTTCTGTTATTTATTGATTTGGAATTGTAAAGGTGAATATAAACAAGAGTAAGAGAGATGTCTATGCAGCAATAATTGATGAGAATGTTGCCATGAAGATGGGAGAAGGGCATTACGAACCACCCACCGGATTCAAAAATTGGTCTATAGCCGTTTGAGGTAGAGACTACAAGGTGTAGGAAATATCTTAAGAAGCATGTGTTCTCCATATGTGTGTGTAGTATTAAATAAAAAAGTTTTTAGGTGCAAAACATGTTTCGTATATGATGATGTTTCATTGAAGAAGCATAAATAAGCTTATATCTGCAAATGTGTTGTAGCTGGGACTAGAACCAGGTTTAAGATTTGTCCCAACTTTTTCAGTACTGAGGACATAATCATTCTGAGAAATTTTGTTAGGAAATTAGACTTACATGTCTCTTTATCATATTTAATTTACTTCTATACAGGGCCTTTGAGAACGTAGAACGGAAGAAGCTTAAGTGTTGAACGTAAATTGCTGGAAAAGCCAAGGCATAGAGAATAGAGGTGTCAGTCCAGCCCGAAACCCGCGGACAAAACCCATATGGACAATTGCGGGGCGGGCTCGGGCCCAAAAAAATATATCCGCAAAATAGTGGGCCTAGCGGGCGGGGCCCATACGGGCGCTGGTTCTGGGCGGGTCAACCTGCATCGGGTTTGCGGGCACGCGGGCAGCCCGACCACAGATCTAATCTTTGTAAGAAATGTTTGGAAAACATTTTACGATTGAGTTTAGCACAACTTTGTGGGCTATGTTTAACAGTGCCCATACATGATTGGGATTAATATTTTTTAAAGGATTTTGGGCATGGTCGAAAACGTTGGTTGTGGGAGTTTACTGAAACGAGTGAGTGCAGTTAATGAAACGGGTGAGTGCAGTTGAAAGCATTATTAAGCTGTTTATATGACTGACTTAACGGTTGAAAACAGATATATTTGCAGAATACATATGACTTGTTGACTTGTGGGTGCAATAGCGGTTAAACAATAAATTAACAATATAAATATATTACAGAAGAGGAAATTTAGACCTATATTACACATATTAAAAGTATTTAGAAAACTAAACCCCTCTTTAAAAGGTTTGAAAACTAATCTTTTTAATATTCTAAATTACCAAAATACCCTCACTTTTTCAAACATAAAAATTGTTTAAAATTTACTTTTAAATATCCAAAATTAATATTGTTTAAATTGAAAAAAAATATTTCCGTTATTCTAAAGATAATTTTTTTTCTTTTTTTCTCAACAGCCTAAGTTCCTAACCCGGTCCGAGAAGCGAAGCCGAGGGAACTGAGTTTATGTAGTACACATCATGAGGCTGATCTCGAGCACTCCGTGCTAGCTTGTCTGCCTTCGTGTTTTTTTGTCCTGGAAATGTGTGATAGGGAGAACGCCTGGAACATCCTTTTGCTTTTCTCTATTTCCTCTAGCAATATCGCAAACGGTGGCCACTCTGCAGGTTTGGACACCATCTTCACCAGCTGAGCGCAGTCTGTTTGGAAGTTCATCCGCCGTTTATTATGGACTAGCATACTTTGCATAGCCCAAATCAGTGCCTCCAACTCTGTCTGTAGTGGAGATAGACCCCGCCAGAGATTACTAGACCCCACCAAAATTGATCCCGATTCCGGATCGAAATTGTACCATCCTAACCCTGCCCGACATTCTGTTGCTTTCCATGCTCCGTCAACCTGGCAGCACTCCCCCAATGGGGTGGGCCTAAGTTGTATAGAGCTATCGAAATGCACCCTCTGCTACCTTCTAAAGATAATTTTAAACATTTGTTTTTTATTTTTTTTATAACTGAAGATTGAAAAAAATAAACATTTTGTCTCTCATATTCTTAACTTGTGTTGTATAAACATTAATAGTGGTCTAACTTCTATCATATATACTAATGGTGGTCTAAAATCCGGAGATGCTCGTGCTGCATTTGTCCATGTTTCCAACATGGACAAATGTAATAAAAAATGGGGCTCAAGACAAGCAAGTGATGGAGTAAAATGTTGGGAATGGTCGAGCAAACCTAGGGAAAAGTCATATAGTAGAGGATAAAGACACTGAAAATGACCATTCTCGGAATGCATCTTCATTGGAATCTCTCTCATTAGGTCCATATGGACTTAAATTTTTGGAAAACGTTTTCCGAGTCTCTTCAAGACTTCTCACATAGATAGTGATGATGGTCTAACTTCTCACATATATATTGATGGTGGTTTAAGATCCAAAACTTATCAAAATCAGACCCCTCATCTTAAAATGCTCTTAACTGAGAGTGATTATTTTGAGTTGAAGATAAGCTTCAGATCTTAGACCACCATCAATGTTTGTGTGAGAAGTTACACCACTGTCTATGTGAGAAGTCTTGAGGAGATGCTCGAAAAACGTTTTTCAATTGTCTAAGTCTATATGGCCCTAATGAGAGAGGTTTCAATGGACTAGTATTCAAAGAATGATCATTTCCAGTGCTTTTATCCTGTACTACAAGACTCTTCCCTAAGTTTGCTCGACCATTCCCAACATTTTTTTCCATAACTTTCTTGCTTTGAGCTCCACTTTTTATTTCATTTCCCATAACTATGTTGGATATATGGACATATCTGGCACAAGCGTTTCCGGATCTTAGACCACCATCAATGTCTATGTGAGAAGTTAGACCACCATCATTATCTATATGAGAAGTCTTACGAAGATGCTCGGAAACTTTTTAAAATGTATAAGTCCATCTGGCCTAATGAGGCAGGTTCCAATGAAATAGCATTCAGAGAATGGTCATTTACAGTGCCTTTATCCTCTACTATATAACTCTTCCTTAGGTTTGCTCGATTATTCCC